CTAAATATATACCATGCCTTTCCCGTAATATCTTCCAGGTCCCTTTTGATGTCTAATCATCATTCAAAGAAGTTCAAAAGGAAATTACTACGTCTAAGGCTGGTCAGTTTTAGTGTGCTCTGCAATATGAACTAAAATTCTGGGCCTCTCTAAGTGTCTCAGATTAATATAGTAATTTTAAAACAAATAGATAAAAGTACCATAAAAAATTCCTTTCATGAAAAAGGACTATGGAGTAATTAGGGACATACGCAACGTAGTTTTGAGCTTTGTTTTCTTATTTCCTGTATAATTTAAGAGTTCCAATAATTAAAGGTATGATGCTTGGTAATGCTGTTTAACTCCTCTGAATTAATTTTTGAGGAAATGCCAGCTAGAACTATTTTTGCTAATTTAAAAAACACAAGGATTTTCGTCGTTTGATACCTGATAAAAACTCCTGGTAATGAATACTGAATTTTTATCTAAGAACATCTCATGGTACTCTGATTTTAAATTAAGAATATCTTGGAAAATTATCAGTGGGAAAGGTACATTGTAATGTACCCGGATGTAGAGTGAGAGGATGACTTCGTGGGGAGCATGCGTCAGTGTGCATTGTAGGTCAGACAGGTAAATCGAAACCATTGCTGAGATTGTTGGTCAAAGTTATCAGATTGCTTCAACTCGACTTGGGTCATGTCTTAGAAAGAAAAATGTATCTTAATTAAATATTTCTTTTTTTTTTTTAGGTGTTTCTGATTATTCTAACAGTCCGAGAAAATACCTCTTCTTTGGCATCAAACAAATTGTTTACTTAAAGTAAAACGCCATTTATATATACATAAATGCTGATAAATCTGAACACGCATAAAATGCCTTTCAATTCAAGTTTACCTTTCACAATGTCTGGTTTTAGACCACAATTATTGAATTGCATATTTTACCTCCTGTCGACATATTTCTCTGTCTAGTGTTGTTTAAAAATTAAAATGCAGATTTCCTGATTATTTTTTAAAGGGAAAAATTGAAATCATTGATATATCCAAAACATTTTGTGATCCTTTTAGGTCATTTTAAATTATGATCTGATGGCGCAATTACTCAACAATTTAGCACAAAATTTGGCTTAGCGTATTTCTGAAGGTATCTACTCATGTATATATGCATGTTATTTATCGATATACTTGATTTAGCTGGAGCTGCTTTCCGCCAAAGATGCTAAATAGAATACACAGCCAAATATAATACTTTAGACGTATTGTGATGCAAATTGCTTCATTTTCATATGACATTCTTCTGTCAGTAATAAGGTAAATTTGTAAGATGCCGAAAAATAAATATTTATTCTTTTTATGACATATTGATATAATTCAAAGTTAACAGATGGCTTTGATTAATTCGGTTTCTGATATTGTATTACATTTCGCTGTGCATTCTGCTCAGCGCTGTGGCGGAAAGCAGTTTTCTCTAAATCAAATATATAGCTAAAAACTAGCATATTAAGAAAAGGCTAAATCGAATCCACGATAAATTTTTGAAAAATGAATTTCAGTGAAGAATCAGGTGCCTAGTAGGAGTAAGCATCCCCTGTCAGCCAAATTTTGAACACGCTAAATATAATACTGTATTTCATTTGTTTTTGTTTTTTTGTTTTTTTTTTTGTTTTTGTCTCTCTCTAATTGGCCATCTTCTAAATTTAAATTACAGATCATTTAAAAATGATAATATAAATAAATGAAATAAGCTAGGGAAATAAAATCAGTGTAGAAAGAGAAGATATTTTAAAAATATTAGTGTGATTTCTGTTTAAATGATCTTTTAAAATTACCTCAAAAAGACATATAACATTAAAAATACATAAATGACCAACTTCACTCATCAGAAATAACCTTAAATTAATTCTTTCCAAACTCCTTTGGGATCGAACTCCTGACATTCTTCACTTAAATACTAGCATTTTATAGAGTTACTGTATAGGGGGAAAATAACTCGCGGTGTTAATATTCGCTATATTCACGGTGTTAATAAATCCGTGAATTCAAGAAACAGTGAATAAGTTTTCAATATTTGGATATTTAAGAATAGACTACGATACGTGTAGTACATGGTCATTTCAGTAATTACGAGTCGCACTTGTCATTCAATAATTTTAACTATCACGCTTTACTTTAATTTAGATCATCAGATAATAACCTGTATTTGTTAAAAAGCTGTTTTAATAGCCAATGCTACATGTTTCATCAATCAAAACGGTTTTGATTACCCGTGCGTAACTATGTTACCACGTGTATTCGTTACCTACACTATCATACGTATTAGTTTTTATCGACATTTTAGTTTTAAAAAATCATTCAAATAATATCGAACTTGCTGAAGATGTGGAAGGATATTATATCGTCGACCTACATTAACAATTTCTTACCGTCCAGCAGCTGTCCAGTGGTTTTTCGCCGCGATATATTATCCCTTCGGAAAGAAGATCTTGGGGTGTCGTAATCGCATATAGGAAAGTCACTCGACGTTCATAGTCAAGGACTTTTAATAACTAATTAGTTATTAAATCTAACTATTTTATATAAACATACCCTGTGAAGTGAATACATGACGCTGATTATGTCGTTCTAGCTATGCTATGGATTAAACGGATATAGACAAGGGAGGTAACTTTATTTTATACATGTACCGATTCCGCGAAATCAACAAACCGCGATCGTGTCGGAGGAGAGAAAAACGTGAAAATTACAACCCGTGAAATTAATCCCCTATACAGTATATTGAGTGAGCATCATTTCATAATTTTGAGCAAACCAGTGCAAATATAACTTCAGACATCAGCAGATTTCTTTCATGCTTCCTTGGTATATCAATCTTTTTATTTATTACTCATTTCTTGTTAACAAATATATATCAAAATATTAAAATATTTTCATTCAACCGCGACATATGACTGTAATTCATCACACCTTAAGCAGTGATAATGTAGTAACTGATGAATTAGAATTAGAACATATTGACAGTTATTGAGACAAATTTAAAAATTGTTATTAAATTGAATTCTGCTAGGTTCTGTTTTTCTTCCACACCCAAAACGTGGCTTAATGATTGGTAACTGTTACAAACTCACAGACAATTTGAAAGCAAGCAAAAGATATGTTTTTGAAAAATAAAACCTTGGTGACATTTTCAGTAATGTTGACACTTATTTCTGGAAATATGTCCCTTTTCTACTTTTAAATCGGAGTTCAAAATGTAAACTAGATTTTTTTTCCGTTACATCTAGCATTTTTTAGACCAAGTTATTTTTATCTCATCCTAGCCAAAGGGTCAATTGAGATTTCCTGATCGAAGAATGGCTGACGTCCGTCTGTAGTGTATCGTTTTTCGTGTCTTGTCTGTCAGCTTTTCATATTTTCAACTTCTCCAGAACCATAAGACCAATTTCAACCAAACTTGCCTCAGAGCATATTAGTACTTGGGTAAAGGCAATCCAAATTTGTTGATACATGTATGAAGGGCAAGCTCTCTTTCAAGGAGAGATTGGTGGAAATTTGGTGGCATCATTAAATTTTCTTCTGAAGAATCCCTGCATGGGCCAGAAATGAGAAAAACTTATGCGAATGCTTCCTTACAGTGTAGAAAAGTGGAGATTGTTGGCATTTCAAAATATTCTTGGGTATTTCTACTGGGCTACCTGTAATTTATGTAAATGCTTTATTTTAAAGTGTAGATTGAAATTTATTCATTTTATGGCCCCGAAGGCAGGGTGGGGCCTAAGAAAGTGAACACAGTTTTAAGGTTCATCCATCCTCATATAAAAGAGATAACTCTAAATGGAATAAATGTCTCTTATTCCTTTATGAAAGATCATCTCTGTCAAATTTTGCACCACAAGCTATGCTGAAATTGTTTGCATTTTAATTGTGTATTAGACTTTCGGAAAATTATAAGCATTAAAGCAAAATTTTATGAGTGAACAGGTATGATGAACCTCCTTAAATAGGAATAATTTGGATAGAATCTTTTTACTTCTCAAATTAAGATGAATGACCATTATTATTATTATTATTATTTTAGAAAATAGTCATGTTAAAAGGCAATTTTAGTAAAATTTTTCCCAAAGTGCTTTGCTAAAGTTGTTTGTATTTTTATTATAAATTAGAAAATTTATATTAGGTGTTAGATCTTTCATAAAGAAACTAGAGTTATAAAAAACCCCAAAATTTCATATTTTAAAAATAATTTTCATGAAAAGAATTACCGGTCACGTTAGCCTCTGGGTAGGGCGTTCAGTTTGTGAGGTGGAGGCCCGGGATCGAATCTCGTTTCGCCGCGTCAAATCCAAGAGTAAACATATGTAGTGACTGTTCCTTTGCCAAGAGGCATTAGAAGTGAAAGCCACGCGTCTTTCAAATAAGACCTTAGAAACCGAGGTCCGTGTCATGGTAGGTGGTAGGATAAAGAACCCTCACTGCTCAAAGACCCTGAGTACCGAGTGAAGGTCTGAATTTGAAGCCCTTCATCGGTATATGGTGACCTCTATCAATGTGTGAATATTTCTCGATGCAAAACAACACACAATCAATCATGAATAGAATGATTTGTTTTTTTTTTGTTTATATAGGTGCTAAAACCTATCACAAGGTCATTGAAAGCATGTTAGTTTCAATATTAGGAACCAGAGAGGACGGAAGTCTAAACTTTAGCAAGTTGAACAAGAAAGGTGACTAAGAGTTAATGATCTTTGGTATCAAAGTAAAACTGATTCGTCTGGCTGTTAGTTTGTCAATAAAAATATTAAATTTGCTTTAAATTCTGATACAAGGGTTCACATGTGCAGTAGCTAGGAATGGAAACTATTATTATTATTATTATTTTTTTTTTTTGCAATAAAGGGAAATTGAAATGATGATATGGTATGACATGTTTAAATATTATTTTATTCGTGAATACATTGATTCGAATTCATAATGAAATGAACGTAAAATTATTATTTAATGTTTTTAACAATAAGAATGAAATAACACAGACATTTATTGGTTCTTTAATTATGTTGTTGTAATTACATAGTTTTCGTCATATGCAAGATCATTGTTTATAATAAAAGGTGGTCTTTGTGTAAAAATAAAATGCCATCACATTTAATACAACCATTTATTGATACATACTTGCAATTGATGTAATATTTGAACATTATTATAGTTTGACATGATTAAAAGTTGAGAAATGTAAACACTAAAAAAGTAAATGCACAAAAAATGAAAGACAGCTAGTATACTAGTAAGAATATTATACTTCAGATACAGTACCAGATGAATTCTTTCTTCAGTCAATATATAATCGTTCAGAAATTAAAGCAAATGTTTCACACAGAAATGCCAAAATCAAACATTTAATGCCTTGGAAAAAAAAACTATAATCAAAGAAATATTTTTATGCATTTGTCCAAAATGAATGCCCCAATGCAACGCGCATACACATACATGTATACCTGTTTATGTTCTAATAATAAATCAGTTGTGTTGCATTTTTAAAGAGTGATGGATGTAATTAGTAAAAAAAAACATATTCAATTCAAAGCACAGTATAGCATTCTACAACTTCTTTAGCATGAGGCAAAGGTAAAAAACAAAACAAAACAAAACAAACAAAAAAAGACACAACTATGTATCATTGCTGATCAATTATGTTAAACATGTTCAAATTAAAACCCTTTCAGATGTAGTTAACGATTCCAAATTTGGCACTTCGAAAAAAAATATATGGCACTTCCGTAACTTACAAATATACATGACATGTGCGCCTTCTTACCACGAAAATCCTTTGGATATTCCAATTAAAAGAAAAAAATCATACAATATGACTAAAGTATGACTGAATAAATTGGTAAACAAAATTAACTGTGTACAGTACTAATGACTAGATACGAACACGTAATTAGAAAAAAAAAATCATCAAACTACGCTAAAAATGGAGAGAAATATTCTCGTATCCATATAGGAAGAAAGTTTAAAAGAAACTGGCAACATTTTGAGATTAAAAATTTTCAAAGTGGTGTTCGAACAACGCTCTCGTATTATTACTGGCCTCAATACAACCCCGCTCTACGCTCTTTGTAATTCCCGGTGGTCCACAGCTAAAAACACCAATCTTTTTCACCTGTAAAGAGAACACCCGCAAAACGGATTGAAAATTACTTAAAATGGTTTGGCAGGTCAGTGACGTCGGGAGATACATGTACAGTTCATTGAATTCTTGTGTTGCGTGTGCACATTAAAATTTTCATGCTTAAAAAGCCATCATTTACATTTTGCCCACTAGACAACTTTACAGAAAAATTGTAATTATGTTTTCTTACCATAGGGTGAGCTCTGTGTACAGCATTAAACATGCTATTTAGCTGAGGCCTTCCGAAATGAGTGCTAGCCTTAAGTCCGGTGAAAACACTGCGTCCACCAGAAAGCTTTTGAAAATGCTCCTCACAAATATACTAAAATAAGCAAATAGTTAGTTAGTAGTCAGTGAAAATAAAAACACTTCTAAAATTGCTTTTTGTGAATTAAAAGCCAATGCCTTTATTGACAATTTTTCGTGCTGTTTTGTATACTAGAAGTTACTCTCAATATTGGCATCTTAATAGTGATGTCTAAATTTGCAATATCTTGGGAAATAAATGTGAAAAAAAAATTTGCAAGTTCTAGTTATTCAAACTTGAACATCTCGATCATGGTGCACGCCTATGTCTAAATAATACTAGATATTTGAAAGTCTGAGATACCGCATTTGAGTCTTGCATTCAATCTAAGTGCAAACCAGCTGACCTTGTTCGAAGTATTTAACGTGTTTGATATAAAATTCTCCCCGATACCGAAAAAAACTAAGAATTCAATGTTGAAGATTTAATTTGTCAAAATATTACTTCTTAGCAGGATACATACCAGCATGGCTGTTCTCATGTCGAATTGTTGGAAGAATTGGGTGATGAAAATGTCCACAGACACCAGACCTTTCTCGTCAACATCTTCCACTTCCCTAATGATGTCTAATAACCATTCAAAGTGACGCTGACTTCCAGTCACCCAAATAAAGTACAGCTAAAAGCATGATAAAATAGTCACAACCTCCAGAAAATATTTTTAAACAGTTTTCAAGCTACGTTTCTTGAAGTTTTTTTTAATTAGGAAAATTACCTTCTGACATTTCATTTTGAACATGTTTTTGATTGAAGCCATGTGAACGAAGTCTTTAAGTATGGAGGCATACGGTGTTACCCCGATTCCGGCACCCACCAGAACCGACACTTCGTATTGGTACCAGTCCTGTTGTCCTGCACCGTATGGTCCGTCTAAGTATATCTAGAGTACAAGGAATGCTACATGATAGAAAGAGGTGTTGGAATAGATTTATGGTCTTGAAAAACCCTAAGAAGTTCAAAAGGAAATCATTACGTCTAATGCTGGTCGGAGTTTGGTGCTCTGCATGATAAGCAGAAATCTCTCAGAGTGTCTCAATTCCATTTAAAAGTACTATACGATAAACCTGAAACAATAATATTGAGAGACTCACATGAGGATATGACCCGTCCCTGTGATTCTCGGGATCAAACTCCTGACGGATGTTCCATGTCCACGGTCCAAGAGCCCGGATGTGGAGTGACAAGGTGTCTTCATGGGGAGCAGACGTCAATGTGAAAGGATGGTATTCATTCGCCCCGTGTGTCAGGCAGGCGATTCGAACCCATTGTCCAGATTGATAGTCAAAATTGGCAGGTCTCTTGAACTCGATGTGAGTTATGTCTAAAATAAAATAAATCTCTGACAGTGAAATACTTGCAGTATATTTTAGTTGTTTCTGATTGATTTAACAGCCTCAGAAAATACTTCTTTGTTCCCATCAAAACAATTTATCGTATATGCTTATAAGTACATGAACTTAATTTATTAACTGAATAATTACGAAAGCAGTTTCATCATGCGTATGAATAAAATGCCAGCCAAGCTCAGCCTTTATAATGCATATAATGTCACCGGTATTTTTAACATATTTTCGTCATTTAAAAAAATCTGCAAAATACAAATCTGCTGACGACTTTTTAGGAAAAACTTTCGTACTGTACATTATGAATTTATTAAAATCCAATGTGGCATAGTTTTTGATGCAATTTCCGGTCATTTAAATTCATTTTAAACTATACACGTAAGGTGCAATTACATGTATATTGCAACGCAATCTCCTTTCATTTTTTTTATTTGACATTGCACATTTTTCTATCTGTAAACCGAGGAATTGTAAATGTTTTTAAAAAGAAAGCAATTTCTTAAAGTGCAAGATGGATTCATTAGCCTAATCAAGATATTTTACACTTGATATAATGCACGTGGTTCTTTTACATAATTTTTTTTCTTTTGTTTTCTTTTCATTACGTAATAAGAGACAAAGAAATAGGCGTTTCAATATTAGAGTTTGACAAAGTGCAGGAAAAACCGCCTACTCAGAATATTGTTTACACGACCGATGAATAAATAAAGAAGCTTTGTATTACTTGTATTCTGCATCTTATTTGTCTCCATTTTTACCTAAAATCTCGTTGCATTTTTTTACCACAATAAGAACGTCGTTCATCTCATTACACTTATCACTCTCACGCTTCCGTTTAAGAAATTGGAATTTGGTACCTGAAGGTAGTTTTTCTGCCCGGATCACATCCAGTTCTGTTTTCTTTCGGCTCATGCTTATCATTTTGTCAATCGTAAATAGAATGGCTGGTCCGATGAAGTAGGCAAAGAACATTGGTTTTTGGACAATGGTAGAAGCACCATGTAGAATGGTCAAAATATACATAACCACAATGAGCTTGTGGGTCAGCCAAAAGCCGTTGAAAATCAGACGTCTAGCCGTTTGGGTAGCATATACGTAGATTATACAGATGCAAATAACAAGGAGCACGCCAGTGAAACCTGGAAAATTTAATTATTTTGTATAATCAATAAGAAAGCTTGAGACATTATATATAATTAGCATTAAAGAAGAAAGTTATAAATAGAGAGATTAAAAACATAAATAACAAACTACCCCTCTCCCCAAATAGAAAAATGAAAACTAAAGGTACCAGAAGTCTCTAAAGAGACTGTAGCTCTACTGGGTTGAACTTATAAACTAGCTTTTAAACTTGAAACAGCGTCAATTCCAATAAATAGATAAATGATCCCTGACTTATTTTTTCATTTTATTGAAATCAGAGCAAAAATGTTGAAAAAGAAAGATTTGAAAGAATTTCACACATTTTTTTTTTATTTTTAGCAACCATGGCAACATTGTTTGTCAAATAAAAAGCCCATACACAGAATTATATATATCTTACTGTAGTCTTCTTGTATACAAAGTTTTATTTGAATAGGACTTACACTGAAGAAGAAGTAGCGTTTTGATAGAATTTCACAGAAATTTCTACTTTTAGTTACGAAAGCATAACCATCATAAAAATCAAAAACCAATAAATAGAATCTTGTATCTAAGTGAAGTCTACTAGTGAACCAAATTTTATTGAATTCAAATTAAAACTGTACGAGGAGTAGTGCGTTTTGAAAGAATTTTACAAAAGATCTATCTTTAGTAACCATTGCAACACCATTCATCAAAAAAAAAAAAAAAAAAAAACTGACAAAAAGAGTTTAGTATCTTAGTGATGTCTTTTTGTGGTTCAAGTTTTATTAAAAGCGAACTAAAACTGAAGGAGGAATAGTGTTTTGAAAGGGTCGCTAATAGTATGCAGAAAGTTCAATTTTTGCAAACTATGGCAACAAATCAAGAACTGATTGAAAGATTTATTTATATTGGTGGTGTATACTTATGTTCCAAATTTTATTGGAATGGACAAAACTGTAGGAGGGTTAGCATTTTAAAGAATTGTTTACAGACAGACAGATAACGGCTGACACCTTACATTGCATAAGCTCCTCTGGATTTTGATCAAGTGAGCTAAAGACAAACCTGTCATATTCCCGAAAAACCAAAAGTTAAAAGTAGGTTGAAACTCAGATCTGAAAGAGGTGAAAACCAGTGTGTTAATGTGCTTGCTATTTTTTTGTAGAAGAAGTAAAATATACAAAGTTAGAAACAGGGGTTATATTTTTACCTAAGTACTATTGAATCAAAGATGCATAGATGTGACGTTGGTTGAGTTGTCAGATGATAGAAATTGAAGCCGTATCCGATGATATGTAGACCTATAAAGGAAAAACAATACAGTTTAAAAATTATGTTTTAATTCAACATATATAACTTCTGTTTAATTACTTGATCATGCTTGTTTTAGTTTTATTTTCCCTGAAAATTCAATACTTACATGTAAAAAATAAAGCAGTCCAAGCAACCACCTTGTGGAATGCGACATGTGAATCAAACGGGACATACAGATTGAGGAACGTCCCTCGAAGCCACGTGATAAGGTTGCGGCACATAGTCAGTAAGAGAATAGAGAACGTGAAAGACATTGCTGCAGCTGCACCACGTGTAACGGAAATGCCGTAGCTCATAATCATGCGCAGTCCACTATGCTCCCGTTCTACCGTATAGTCTGCGAACAAAGATGGCATACAAATTTATGATTATTCAAGTGTTTGTATTGAAAGTTCAAACTGCAATTAAACATTCCATCGTACTGTTTAAAGAAAACTTTCTCATCTAAATTAGAATAATCAAAACTGCAATGTATTAATGAAAGTAATGAAAGAAGATGTGTGTCTACGGCGAGTTAACAGATATATGGTTCAAGATAATAAGACATATCGATATTTCAAAAATGCAATAAAAATATATTCCCTGTGTCCAACCTATATTTGAGTTTATACAGGAACAAACACTATGTTGTACACGTACAATTCACCATATTACCATTCTCAAAGTTAATAATTTGGTCATTTTTAACTAATTCAAAATCAAGTTACCCTTTGTAAATGTTGACATACAAAATAATTACTTCTCTAGTTCCAATAAAAAGGCATCTTAGGTTTCTTGATCTTTTAGATATAATTCCCATTTAAGTATGATTTCATTTGACGTTATGTAAGAGACTTAAAAAGGGATCCCCATTTTATAGAAATAACATACGATAGAATCTTTCTGCAAAAAGCGCAAAAGTTGCCCCAAAAAAGATGACGAGAAAGAAGATGTGTTGTCTGTTGTTTTCTATGAAGTGAGTGAACGTCTTTAATTTTGCCTTGGCAGGATGATATTCTTCTCTGATAGCAATAAATCTGGTACGAACATCTGAACTTCTGCGAGAGTCGGTGGGTGTGCGATTTCCATCTTCCTCTGTTGCTTGGGATAACGAAGCCACGCTACCCTTTCTTTTAATGATTTCATGCGAGGCAGATGAACGGCGGCGACCATTTTCTGATCTGTAGAGAAGATTTTTTATAGAAGAGTGACAGTGTTGTGTAAATTAATAATTGGTGGGTTGTTAACTTTAATATCACAATTTGATTATTTTAAATAAGTATAAAGACTAGTCTTTTAGGACATTCTACAACTGAGTAATATTTGTACGATTTCATGGGTCAATAGCAGTGATAAAATTACCCTCTTTTCTTCTCGTTGTTATTAGGTAAGCACTTTCGTCTTCCTATAAAAATAATAGAAAACAAAATCTTTAACCATAGAAACCTTTATTTAACTTGGAAGTCCATGTACTTATTTTGCAGTAATTATAGTTCCAGGGTTCAACGTAAAAATCATTTTGATTCATTTTAATAGAATCCAAGAACACACCTTTCCAATCCAACCCAGCATTCCAGAGCTTGTCCATCTGCGGCGAAAGGATCTGACAAAAGTTCTCAAAATTGATTTCAGTGTGTTCTTCAAGTCCATGTTCTTTGCAGATAGACTCTATCAACGTATTGACAGCGGCTTTGTTGAGGTTACTATTTGCCATGTCTAGTAAAGAGCTACGAAAAAGGAAATCAACAAGCTTTTGAAATTGCTTTTTTTCAATTAATTTCAGTCAAATCATTTATTTTTTTAATAAAATTGTAAGTATTGATATTTTTCAGAGCAAGGAAGATTAATTTCGAGTATTTTGTAAATTCAACTGTTTGGAATTCAATTAATGATCGTAGATGATATTAAGAATGAAAGGAGTTCTTGTTGTGGTTTTTTATTAATTATTGCAGATTATTTAACAACGTACCTGAACATTCTTGTTAGATCTGCTTTTTGTAGAATACCCCTGCCTTCTACATCAAACATACCAAATATTGTTTGTAATTTTTCCTGGCATGAGCCTGCAATAAAAAAATTCAAAATCAGAATTTCAAAATTGCTTTCGTTTCATCGAAATATATTTTTAAGCATCAACTTACAAGCATATGTCTATTTACTATTTTGTATATCTACTTTTTAAATCCTTATTTATTTGGAACATAACCACAATATTTCTTATTTCGTTTCTCTTTTTTGAGACTAGCTACTTATAAAGTAAATCTAATTTATTTAATTACCTTTAGAAAATATAACAACCATGTGTAAAAAGTCTCTGAAAGAGATATAACCATTTCTGTCTGTATCAAGCATGGTGAACATATTTTCAACAAATTCTGAATTAGGTTTCACGGCTAACGCTTGTGCAAATTCTTCCTGTAAAACAAAATGAGTATAATTTTTTTAAAAATTTTTTTTTCAAAATTATTGATACAGCAGGTATTTTGTCATCAGAAAAATGCAGGAAACCACACACAAAAAGAATTTTAAAAAAACTGTTTTCACAGCATCAATATACCATTTGATTTAACAATGCAAATTTGTTAAGAAAATAGATATAAATGTAACATTTCATTAAACAGTAATATATCATGGTAAACAGATCACCTTAGTTAATTCGGTCTCCAATATTTCGTTTGTTTGTTGTCTCTCTAATTGATCATCTTCTAAATTTGGATCATAATCCATTTGAAATGCCTGTAGACAGAAAAAAAACAACATAAAAGTTGAAACAAGCCAGGAAATCTCAAATGTGGTTCAGAAATAATGTGATTTTTTGAAACGATCTATTAAAATAGCCTTAAAAGGATATATTTCATGTTTATGATTAACCTTTTAAAGTCGCTCACCAAAATTGAACACGAAATCAATTCCATCTACAGTCCATTAAAGATGTACATTCTCTAAGTACCAGACAAATATTTTGGGACTGCTTTGTCGGAACAACTTTATTCATTTTTTTTTTCATATTTACATACTATTATTAGTATTTTAAGGTTATTTTGATGTTTATGTGTACCATCAAATAATTATATACTATATACAATATAGTTATAATGAGGGAACACCTTATCCATTCTTTATATACTTTCTAATAACATAATAGTCATATTGAGGATACACTGAGGGAAGACTATTTTAAATCACATACTAGTCTTTAATGGTTATATTAAGGGGGCACCATTAGTAGTTCTTTTTTAGAAAACCAGTACAAATATAACTGCAGACAGATGCAGAACTCTCTATCCCTCTTTTTTCCTTGGCGTACGCAACTTTAAAATATTTTAAACTCTTTTCTTGTTCAGATGTCATACATCATAGAACTAAACTAGAATTGATTGTCCCTACAGATGAGTGTAATATATCACACCAAAACAGAAAGTGATAATGAAGATAAATGATGAATTAGAATTCAGAACATTGACAGTTATTGAGATAGATAAGAAAATTATAATTAAATTGAATCTGAAAAGTAGCTTGATTCTGTATTTCCATTATCCACACCCAAGAAATGGTCGTATGATTAGTAACCGTTCAAAGCTTACTGACAAATTTAATTGAAAGCAGACAAAAGGTCATTTGGTATGAATCAGCTATTAAGCAAGTTGATATACTTGCTTCTGAAAATATGTTTCTCTTCCCCCATAAATTCAGAAAACAAAAAAAATTAAATCTTTTTGATGTCTTCATCGATTCGTCATATGTACAGCAGTTTGAAGTAATTCTTTTTTTTAATATATTGTTCAAAAATCTCTTGCTAAGACAATGCAAGAACTTAGAGGAAAAATCCTGATCATTTAGGCGATACCTTATTTTTGGAATTTGCTGATTTAGATGTTATACCAATTATTGGAGAAAAAAATATTTTTCAAGCGCTTTGTTTTGTTTGTTTTGTTTTTTTTTACCATACTATTTTAACTATGTCATGTCTATAAATGCTAATGCAAGGCAAGCAACAGTCTTATTCGATACACAAATGCAATAAACCATTACTTCTTCTTGTCTTGAAAACTTACATGTTCTTTTTAACTTGCATACATATTTAGACAGAGTTTGCTTCAATAAACATTTCAACAAATAAAAGATCAACCAAATATTACAAGTATATAAATAACTATAACACATTGGATCAACTGAAAATGAAAAAAAAAACATATTATATAAATAGACGATGGTTAATAATTTTTTTACGGCATCTGGTGCATTTCTTTAGTATTTTAAGGGGAAAATCTTTTTAATCTTTAACAAATTTTGACACAAGGGTAACACCGAATCTAATCTGAAGAGTGTGTGTGTTCATGTCACGTACCTCTGAAAACACAGATTTAAAAAACTTTTCGAGTCTTAGATTTCTTTTCTTTTGAGTAAATGCGCTCTTCAGAATATACTGCGCCCTTTCCTCAACAACGTTACATTGTATTTGATTGGCTTCAAGTGCTCGAGTCACTTCATTTTCAAACATCTGTCGATCAGCACTGTTGTTAAATCTCAGTACCTGCAAATTAATTTTTAATGTATATATATTAACATTTGTACATGAAACAAGAAAAGTAATTGCGATATACACACAAAACATCAACTCAATTTTAAAAACATTTTACATCATGTTAAAAATACTTCAGGTAAAACTTACATAATTCATTGTGTGATATTAAGAAGTATTTGTTGTATAATTTTTTAGTGAAAGAGGTGAGAACAAAGAAAGTCAATTTCATATATTCTGTAAATAATACAAATGGAAGTTGAAAATAACAAGACCAATGGAACCACCAGAGATATATTATGTGTTGTGAAATGTTAAGTATAGTACATGTTGTATAGTCATACCAGATCGTATTCTTTTGGGACTTTAATAGATGTATATGTTCTTCCTTTATTACTTGACGTCATCATATAAACTGACTCTTGGTTGAACAACTTAATTGTGCGCAGTCTCCTTCCGGTGCAACTATCAACCTCAATTTCACACTGAGGTTTGACTTTTAGGACAACTGCTCTTTCATCTTCCTTCTCATCCAACCATTCGTATGCCATATGCTTACTTCCTTCACCTCCTTAAAGAAGAAAAAGAATCTCAAAGAAAGCTTTTCCTTCTTATATATAATTTTTGTATTGCATAATACTTGAATTTCGTTTTCAGACTTAATTTTTTACAATAAATTTCAAATGTTACTTAAAGAAGATGATTATCTCAAAACGATGATGTTGCACCTGAAAAACTACTTCTGCCACCTGTTTTCATGGTCCTAGTCTGCATTTTTCGTACAACATTTGCATGCTTCCAATTCCTGCACTTTGCTGCAGCATACGCTGATAGAATGCAAACTGAAATTCAAAATAATTGTTCATTAGATTTTCTGACCAAGTTTCCTGACCAGTCCATTTCTTCAATTCCAGTTCCACAATCCCCCTCCCCCTCAAAATTTATTTTTAACGAGTTTGTAAAAATTTATGCATACCGAATGGAATTATTCCAAAGCATGTCCATAGTATGATAAAAGACAGTTCACTTCCCTTGAAGTAGTCGTATCCATGGTGATCTGGACAGGAAGACATCTGTTCAGCACTAAGATACTCTGAATTGCACCCTGATACTATGGAAATAATAATTAAAAACTTCTTAAAATACAACAAGTCAATATTAATGTTTTTATTTTTCAAATTTCGATTCATAGACCCGATTCTTTTCTTTTTTACCTTTAGTTATTGTGTGAAAATATTGTTTGATCTTATCTAGGTAGTACAGGTGTTATGAGAAGACAATGCACAAAGAATTTTCCACTTTATTTGATTGACTTACGATTATGGACAGAAAACGCATCCTCTGGAACATGTTCATGCTCTAAGGTATTTGTAGAAAGCAAGATATCAGATAATTTAATATTTTTAATTTCTTCGATCTCTTCATCAGTAAATATTCTGAAAAACAAAAGTAACTTTTCCAATTTCTAATTCATTCAATGAAATCCATCTCAAAAACAGTAAAAAAAAAAATGATATTATTATCAGATATCAATTGTAGTGTGGATTCTTACTTTGATTTGGTGTTCTCAAACCAAAACCAGTCTCCATGGCGAATGTTATAGAACTGGTTCTGTATTATGGTTGTAAAAAGTTCACCAGGTCCATCGTTGGTTTCCAACATCCCACCAACAAACAAATCGAGTTTGCTTATATCACCATAGAGATGACGAGTTTTATTGAACAGCTAAAATAAAATTAAATCACACTTCAGCCACATTTTTCATAGTGTCATCTATATTATAGGATAAAATCCCCACTTTCCCCTATTATTGAAGAAACAATGTTCACTAGCTTTACCAATGGGTTTTCCCTTGCTAATTTTGGGTTGATGTCCTCAAAGGTTTTGATTGGACGAAGGCCTATACATTGTCTTACAGTGTTGTAATCTGGAAGCCCATAGTCTCTTCCTTTCATGATAGTATAGGAGACGTGATCGTGGCGAGAGTAGTGTAAAGGCCCGAAGAACTTATCTGTTTTAATTAAAAAAAAATAATCACCCTAAAAGCAACAAAGAAAATTATTTCTTAAATTCTATGTTTCTTGTATCTATTGTGCATTAAATATTTAGCTGAATAGTATTAAAACAACTTTCAATATTATTAGTGATAGATATATGTATTATATGGTTCAAGTGAGATTTTAAAGTTATTTTTGAAATAGAAAGGACCCAAAAAACTAAATTAAATGCTATTAAGGAACAAAATTACCAAGTATATCAGGAACTACTTTCATGTCTTCTTTTTCAGCTTCTTGAAAAAGCAATCCGCGTATGACATCTTCAAAAGCATGTTCATGGTTGGTCAATACACGCTGAAATATAGGCAGCCATTGAAACGTGCAAAAACACAAGTAAGTTAATGTTTACATATTTTCTTAGGAAACGTAATTATATTGTAACTTTAAATGTTAAGAACTTAACTTCAAATATAAAGCATTGAAATGACCTAATAAATAGGTGCTTGACTTGGTACACGACCTTAGAGAACTTTACCTGAGAATCAAAATAAGAGGTACACAGTCGTACTTTGTTCTTCGTGGTACATTTATCATCTCTAAAATCAAATGGTGATTAATCGATATATGATCAAAAAGAATTTAAACAAGTAAATATCGTGTCAACAGTATTTTTTTAAAATAAATAATCTAGTTGATAAACATTTCACAGAATTGTAGATCTTTCGAAGTATCACGAAATCAATAAGCAAAAGCATGGTCTTTTCAACATTAAACCAGGTCCAAAAGACCATAAACTGAGAATAGACTTAAGTAAAAAAAAAATTCAAAACTATATAATTTTAAAATTAATTTTGAAAATGATACAATATTTTCAACTTATGTATTAATTTGAATAATATAAAAACCTGCAGATTTCTTACGCCCACATGTTAAATAGAACTCTTGATATTCAAAATCAAAATTTTGACTTAAATTTGTTCTCAGTTTAAGGTCCTGAGGCCAGGTGAACTAGAAAAGCACTTACAAGACCCGAATGCCCATAGGTATTAGAGTAAGGATATATCGTATTGCAGCTGCATCAAAGACTGCTGTTATTCCTGGCTCCAGGTTGCCTTTGTAGCCTTCGTAGGTAGGAACTTCGGTATTAAGGAGTTTAGGTAACCACTCGTACATTATAATATTCTTGATTGGAAAATACAATCAAAATTCATTAGCAAAGTGTTTGAATGATTAAAAACAACATTTCTATAAAAAATAATGATACCTACAACTGACATTCACAATATTATATTACAAAATTGTTAACCATCCATATTATTAAATGCTTAGTTTTCTCTCATTGAATTATTCTCTGAGCTGAATATTAATCTAACCTGTAATGAAGCAGTCAGCCATTGACGGGCTTTATAGAAAACGTCTACAGCAGACGTGATATTGGTGTTTTGGCGCGTTATCTTCTGCACAAGACTGTTGTGATATCGGAAAAAGAGAACTCCAAACGATAACAGGGCAGGGTTCTCATAAACATGTTCGTCACCGAATCCTTTAATAACAATACAAAAATTATTGAAATCTTGTCCATCACTATAATCAGTAAGTTTACTAGACAAAATCTATCAGGATAAATGTAATCACCGTAATAAAATCACATCATGAAAAGGATTAATGTTTTAATATATGTACTCGCATTATGAAAAAAAAATATCATGTAATAATAATGTATGACAGTTTTACATTTATTTGTACATTTATCAGAAAAGAGAATTGCTTTGAAAATTCATATTTGGGCAAATCTCTCAGTGTATCCTATTTATGCTTGTACATTGAGGTTGACTGCAATAAAAAGGATAACATTCTGAAGTCGAGGTCTGAATGTACAGACAAAACCAAGATGAGGAAGCAGTTACTAATATATATCATATACAGGAGGTATATGTGCCAAAATTGTAGACATTTATTAATTATAAATCGATTTTTTTAAAATCATATTTATAGGAAATTGATGAAATAAATGCTAGGCTGATCATTTATATGCTGTTTTTTTTTATAACTCCAAATGCACTCCGCCTTAAAATACAGCAGAAAATCAGCAGTGTTTTCCAAATTAGGTTCTTAATTCTTCCTGAATAGCCTTTGTAGTTTAAAGGATTCAAGGACAAAGAATTCTCAACACGCCTTTCTTACTGCAACGCAGAACAGTTAAGGTGTCAAATGGAAATATCGGCGAATTTTTTAGATAGAAAATACATTCTTTACAAGGATGGGCATTTCTTTTTAGGACTTTACTATTTTCGGACAAATGCAATGTGGTTGAAAACTAAATGTTGAGGACGATTAGATTTCTTATTAAAACTTGTCACGTGATGTGGCAGTCACGTGATTTTAGCAAATATACCTGAAGTATTGAGGTCATCTATAAATTCTAATATTGCAAGGGCATAACCAAGTTAAAAATCTAAGTTTAACATATAATTATTTTCAGCACTCTTTGTAGTTTGTGAAAAGTGCTGCGAACCTATATAGATTCTACTATCTAATTGCTAAAATTACATTTGTTAGACCGTATTTTGAATATTTTGCTGGTCAAGTACATTAAATGAAGATATAATTAATTCATTTACAAGATTTCAACAGGTTCGCAGCACTTTTCAAATATCTTCATACTTCTTGAGTTTATGTGTAAAAGCTTGTCATAATTCATTGAGGGTATGCCCTTGCAATATATCGATTTATTAAGACCCTTCTATTACCCTTCAATGAAACTGCATACAAATATACGACAGTATCGCTTGTCTAGGGAATGTACGGGAAGTACATGAATAAAATCATAAAACAGACATCGCATCCAAGTTAATGGCTTCTTATATATCTACAATTTATATTTTATTTAATTATAAAATACATTTTTCATTGTATAAATATAACTTGATCCGCCTCTCACTGCATACAAACTGCGTCAAATTTTCCGATATGACGTCACATTGACAAGTGCATTGCGATCAGTGAATTGTTTACATATTGCTGTGTGGGATTTAACCAACGACAATAATGCATGCACTAGTTAGAATTGATGTAGTTTAAAGCTATTCATAAATTTATAATAGCAAATCATTTCATTTTGTGGTAATTTGAAGAACTTATATTTTTGTGTGATGTCATAGTAAGCATTTCCCGTATAAATTAGGCCCCGCCTCCTTACTGCAGCCTTAACTGTGCTGCGAAATGTGTGATTGAATTATGATCTTGCTTTACAAATTTATAAATAATCAAGTATTTCTGTTTACTGCAGCAATGATTTATGAAAGAAAATAATTCATCCATTGATAATATTATATTGTCAGAAATACTGCATTCATTTGTTACGGTGTTTATTATGACTGAAGTCCACGTTAGTATTCAGAACTTGATTCTTTTGATTTTTGTTTTTTCTTGTTTTAAATTCTGTATGATTTCAATGATATACATTAAGTGTGGTTAACTTCATTGCATGCATCTCATAATAATAATAATTATAATATAATTCATCATTTATAAAGGATAATACATTTTGCGCAATAAAAGTTCTGAATGCGATGGTGTCCAAAAGTTATCACTTTTGTATCAAGTTTTAAAAAAAAAAATTGAGTGCAGTATATTGCAAGATTAAGCATTAATTCTCGAATTGCAAACAAAGCAGTTTGTATCCACGCTATATGTGCAACAAAATCTTGAACCAATCTCTTTTGCAGACAATTAAGAAGGGACCAGCCCGGTGATAGAAAAGGTATTTGACTTTACGGTGCTAACGAGCACGTATTCAGCACGATAATGTTTTAGAGCACGACATTTTGAGGTATATCTTGGCTTAATTACAAAACCTGCGTAACAGCTATCCGAAAAATGAGTCATTTCATGCAAACAAAGATGGATGGCTAAAAAACATTGTTGACTTACTCCATAATGTCTCTGGATTTGCGATTTTGTTATCTTTGTTCGGAAATGTATGGTACGGAAGCCTGACTGTATTTAGGTCCGGAAACTTCTCCCATAAGTCCAAGGACGCTAGTTTTCCAGTTCCTGGTTGCCTGAGGAAACTAGCTCGCACACTACTTGTTCCGTACACAAAACTTGCATCTATGTAACTACTGGCCGAGTTAATCTGAAATCCATGCAGATTGTTCTTATGTTAACATGCATCTTCAGAGACACGATTCTGAACTTCTCCACTTTTTCTAGACAAAGTTATGCTTATTATCGATTGTTAAGTCAAATGTACTAGATTTTATTAATCTTACGTACATTGTTGTGCATAGTCAATTTTCAGATTTACTTTTGTTTTCAAAACATGATGACTAAAACTTTTAAGTTTTTTTTGTCATATATACCTGTCTTCGAGGGTTATTCGGAGATTGACCAGTATCCGTATTGTATTTTATTCTTTCATATGGCATGACGCCATTTCCTCTGCATGCACTATCGAAAGCCTCATCGCATTTAGGAACAGAGATTGTGAGAAGTTCAGCTGGACATGACACCTGGTCACTATCAACGATCTCATATGTCACAACTTGGCCTATTTTAGAAGAAATTTAAGCTTAAATTTAACTACACCACACAGTGTATACTCCGTTTACAGTAAAATAATGCTGAAGTGCTAGTATTGCAACAAACTGTACATCATTACAGTAACAATTTATATTTTTTATTAATTCTAAAGCGTTAATGTAAGAAAGGTCATATTCATTACAATGTAAATCGCTACACACTATTAACGAAATGGTCATTTTATTATTATGTTAATTGTGCTTTGCATGATAGATTTGGTCTTTTTGAAAAGAAGATGATGAGAAACTGGCAATGTAAACTAAGCGCCTATCACAGTATGGAGCAGTCTGTAAGCATAATGTGCCTTCATCAGTACTTTACGCAAAAAATTCAAACTAATTTCCATTCATTTGTATTACTTATTCATTTCCATAATCCATTCCAATTTTCATTTCGTTATTTTGCCTCTATACTGCAAAGGTTTAAATTGAAAACTGAAAATGTCAGTGTGTATAGTTATAATACTGCAAATGTCAAAGTAAATTTATAATTAAAATTATATAATTAGCTAAGAACACTCATGTAATGTCATTTGATACTTCTTTGAAGTAAAGTACAAATGCAAGCCACAACAGAATTAAACAAAATGTCAAAATGGTCTGCAGATTTGCAAACTAAATTAACTTTTGGATATAAGAGAGAGGTTGAATGTGCTGCTTTTATTTGTTTTGCAGAATTATCTTTTGCAATATTCAATTTCCTGCGAAAAGTAAAATCATATTTGATTTTGATAAGGAAAAAAAAAAGGTTATGATTTATATACTAGCTAAGATTTCTTTCAACCGCCAGAACATAAATGTTCTGTTATTTTTTATGACAAGAATACTTATGTTGATTTCTTTCACACAGGTTGGATTACATTTCGTTCAAATATGATGAATTATATATATATATATATATATATATATATATATATATATATATATATATATATATATATATATATATATATATATATATATATATATATATATTATGTCTTTGAAAAAAAGAACCAACCGAAGTAGGCAAAAAGGGCATTTCTTTTGGAATGCCCTGAGGTATTGGCAATATCCTGCCTAAAGAGGAGGTTGCTGACGTCTCTGGCGCTAGGCAAATCATCCAGGCGTGGTATGTAGGTCAGGTCGATGTAGGCAGACGTTATATTATGAATAAGAGATTCTCCTATAATATTAATGCACGCGTTAATATTATAATAGTGCCATCTGTTAAGCTTGTATCAGTAAAACTATCAAAGCAACTAATAAAATACTTCAATATTTGAGATTTTACCAACTTCATTTATAAAAATGACCTTACCTGCACTACCCCAATTTGGATAGGCTAGATTGTTGTACCATCCATCAAATCTTTGAACTTTATGCGACTCAACGAGGAAGAAAACTGAAGGAATAGTTCGATTTATATATAAAATTCATTTTAGGCTTCTCATTAGTTTGCTTTTCAAATCCAATTCTCAGAATTTATTTGCTTAATTCTAAGACATTTCATCTTTCTAGTTTAAACTTTACCGTTGAGTACAACAACCGAAGAAAGCTCTATTTAAATTTCAATTTTCAAATAATGCCTGTTTTTTTTTTTTAATTGTTCAATCCCTTAAATTTGAATAATATACATCTTTTCCCCTTCAAAACATGATAATAGCATGGAATTTTGATATTCTTGTTAAAAGTAATTTATACGAGCTCAAAAAGGTTTAGTTTCAATTATTTTAAATCATAAATTCACCGAAATCATGAACACCAAACCATTATGGAAATCATCTAAAATATGTTATTTCTGCTAGCTTTGAAGCTGGTCAGTAGCTTAATTTAATGTGATTCTTGACGCCAGGATGCAAGAATCTCTGCGTGCAGTATTACAGATCGAATAATCGTGTACTATTTATAAAAAAAAGATATAGTAGATGTATATTACAAAAATCATATTTTGAAAGGCTCATGATTTTTCAGATTTTTTGGTTGCACTTAACTAACAAGTTTAGAATTGATCATGAGAACATATTTTCTCTAAACTTCAGTTTAGAGTGTTTGTTTGTTCGTTTGTTTTGTCTGTTTGTTTGTTTACCTGCTTATTCCTCGATGCACATGATCCCACCCCTGATGTTTGTAGAGAACCGTGATTGCTCCTCTCCCGATTTGTAGTGTTTTAAACTTCTGGGCTTGATTGTTGTTCGTTATCTCATTATTTTATTTGTTTTAATTTTGAAAAATGTTTGCATTATTGTAAAAATTAAGTATTCAAGAAATTGAAGTTATATTATTCTAAAATGTTCTTTTTCTGTATTTATAAAAAAAAAAAATACATTGACCCTTTAAAATACAAAATACTGACCCTTTAAAATTTCTGAAAACTCACAATATTTTTATTGATTTATATATATTATCTAATATAAAATTATCATTAAAAAACGATACCGAAACTGTTTAACTTATTTTTCTGAGGGTAGAATTTGCAAGCTTAAGATTCTTACATTTTCTCAACTAATATACCAAACTTATATCTCCACCAAAAAACTTAAATATTGGAACTGTCTGAGCTTAAAGTAAATTGGATGCAAAACTTGTTCCTATTGCACCCGTTTAAAGGTTTAAGGTCAATGCTTTGCAAATACCGACAAGTTCTATGAAAGTGCAACAGCCCTCCCGTTAGACAGAAGCCTCAAAGTCTTTACAAATTAGCAGGAACCTTTTCCACCCTAAGAGTAAACTTTCATTATGTAAACAGGACTGGTGCTTCCTCCCAAAGTACAAGAAACCCCCCATTAATACCATTCCAGATTTTAACCTTTGAAGCCTTAATTTCATATGAAATCAACAATATGTTAGGTCGTCCTGCTTTGCTTAAAGTATATCGGTTACCGTATCGAACATTGTCACTTTCCCGACTATATATATATATATATATATATATATATATATATATATATATATATATATATATATATATATATATATATATATATATATATATATATATATGTATGTATGTATGTATATTGCAGCAGCTTTCTTTTGTTAAAACACAAACATGGTGTGGAATTATTTGAAATATTAAAGAATGAATAACTACATTTCTGCAAACAAAATGTTTTGATCTAAAGTCTGAAGTTACTTTAATTGAAGTATTTAATATCACAACTCAATTATAAAGATTATATTATATGGAGCAAAATAATACACGTTGTTAAAAGTTTTCATGACAAATAAAATTTTGGAAGTATTCTTACCATTGTATAAAAAGGCAGTATAAATGACTAAAGATTTCATTCTTTGCCCATGAATCTGAAATAAAAAAGAGAAGTCTCTTTATGAATTATCTTTTGCCTTATTTACGATGACCTAAGCACATCAGAATTATGTGATGAAAATGTTTTAGATGCTGGTGGACTGTTAGTCTCCGAGGGTCTCTACAGCCCAGTAGTCTAGTACTTCGGTACTAGCTTGAAAATACGGATATATATTTAATTGCTGTGGTAAAATTTAGAAATTTATTTCGAAATTAAGGATTATCTCCCTCATGCATAGCTCTGATCCTTCAACGTATTTGGCTCCAATCTTTGGCACCTTTTCTCAGCTCTTCCAAGTCTTTTTTATTGAAATATTTTGGATTTCCACCATTTCGGCTTGAGCATCACTGAAGAGACATACTTTGGAAATGCGCATCTGGTGCATCAAAATTGATACCGTATATGATTTACATCGTATGAAAGGGAATCTTTTAATCTGCATAGATATTACTGCTAACAAGATCTGAGTACTAATCTTTTCAAAAATTTGTGCAAGTTTCGTTTCTTAGAGTTGAGGTTAAAAAAAAGATGAATCAAACGCTCTCTAGAAGCATTTAAAAAATATCTTTAATATTACTTATTAATCATTTAAAAATTTCAGCAAAACCTGCTCAAACTGACACATTTCGAATCTTAGCTTTAGAATTTAAAAAAAAAGCATAGAAAATTACATAGATTAGTTAACGCATCAGCTATAACTTTCATTAGGTACAAAATACACTGCAGGTGATCATCAGTTGTAACACATATTGACAAGCCGATTCGGTGTTGTCGGAAATGTCTACACTTGTTTCTTTATTTAACGATATCGTTAAAATCACGGTAGAGAGACGTGACATAGTGCAACAGTCACATTCAAAGAACATGAAATAAGTTTTTCAGAATACTTTGATCGCAAGAGCCTTTTTTCTCCTAATAAACTTTGCTAAAATTCTTATCGTTATAAAGAATTCCTCACTTCTTTTTGAACTTTTTGTCTATAACTTATAAATCCTATCTCAATACATGTATACTGATCATCCTAATATGCATGTAAAATCTTATTTCAATACTCATCTTAATATGCATGTAATACAAAAAAAAAACAACAAAAAAAAAAACAAAAACAAAAAAAACAAACAAACAAACAAACAACGAGACAACTTAAAGAATATATAAAGTAGCAATAAAACAATCACCTCTTAACAGCTTTGTGAAGAATACTTATTTTCTAACCCTTTATTTTGCTTATAAAAATATTATCTTGTTAATATAAATGATTGTCTTAATATGAATGTATAGCGAGACAACTAAAAGGGATATAAATAGCGATAAAACAATCACCGCTTACCTGTAACTGTCGTCTGCCCTCAGTTGGCGGTATTTTCACTATTTCATCAATACCACGACATCCGGGCCTTCATTTGAAAACTCAACAACAAATTTAACCTACTGTCCAATTACTGCGAACTTTCTAAAAAGAAAATCCCGACACATTTAAGAAAATCCGATTGGGAAAGGTTGGGATTGGAACCATGCATAGCCGTATTAATATGTGTTATGACTTGTGCTTCCATGCGGAACGAATTTCACCTGTCGAGGGTTTTCCTAATGGGGAATCCACTATCTGATTGGTTCATGGAACACCAAAGGTCAAATCTTGCGTTCAATATTTACTAAGTAATGATGATATAATAATTAATAAACCTATATGTATTTTTTTTTCAAACCCGGAAAATAATAAAAATGCCTATACACCTTCTATGTATTATTGTGTTGTTTACAAATTTTACATATGCAATAACAAAAAAATCACGGCGAGGATTTACTGGTATTAAAATTGAAGATTAATTGATGTTATATTCATTTTTTGATGGGGCTAATTAGTAATACCAGAAAAAAAGAAAGAAAACTTTAAAAGATGCAAATGATGCAATTTAAACGATTCAAATGTTTTATTCTCAAAACGACAGTAAAAGTTCATTATGAATCGTAATTATTTCAACTTAAAGTAAGTTTGACCTTGGTAATTTATTGTAACACTTTCAAGAAACATTCAACTCATCATACTTAACTGACATTCTGTAGTCTTGAAATTTATACCAGCACTGCCCGGAATGTTGTGTACTTTTCTACTTCCTCCTTGCCTATTGATTGAAATTCCACATTTCTTTTTTCCGATTTTGGAGGAATTTTATCAAAATATGAATTTATACATTCAATGCAAGTAATAAAATAAAATAATTATTTTCAGAATATACTGAAGGGCGATTATAATAAAACAATTTTGACTAAATGGTAAACAAAAGGGGAATAAAAAATTGGAAATTCATTTTTAAAAAAAATTCAAAACAAGGAAACAAAAGAGGGCATGAATTCCATACTTTATGACAATATTATTTTTGACACGTTACACTTGAAGTGTGGTAAGATCACACCTTGACCAAAAATGATAATATGTTGGCGAGGTCATGTAAATCATTAGAGTCACTGCTTTTCGCAACTGCCATGATGAATTATTTAAAAATCTTTGATAGATTTAAGGAATATTATAACCCATTTTTAGATATACATATTTGCATATATTGACATTAAATGAGATTGATAGATTAGAAAAGGATGCATAAAGGCACATTTTTTTTCAATTTCATCGATAATGTTTAATATTCTTTAAAATAACTTAAAATGTACTTTAAAAGAAAACTGCATTTTTCTAAAATTATTTTAAATTTTCATATATTAAAATTTGAAATTTTAAAAAATGATTCACTTTGATTCAGATTTAAAAAAAATAATTTTAACACGTATATGTGCTTAAAGACAATTGTACAAGTAGTTGGTAACAATATTAAAACTATGTATTATAATATTTAATGCTCATTAATTATATTGCAGGGAGCTGCGTACCGGGATATTATTGTAGATCAGTTGCAAAATAAGGATTTCAGATATTTACATTTCGACAGTTTTCTGGTATATTATATTACTTTGTTTGTTTAACCCCCTCCAAAATAGATATGAATATTTCTGGTCAAAATTGACGAGACTGAAAATAAATATTACTGAAATTAAATACATTAAATATTACAATGATAAGATAGATCTGAATAAACTTTAGCCTTAATTAAGTTTATCAAATTTAGCCTGTAAACTTTCAATATGAGTTGACCAGCTTGGCTGAGCTTGCAAGTAGCATCACGTGAAAACAATATTCACAGGTGTTTATATTAAGAAACATTATAATGGACATTCAAATTCAATTCAAGGAAATTCAAGCTAAAGATGTTCACCGATATGCATAGCTGCATATAACAATTTCCACGAAACACAGAACCCTAACCCTATCTCTAAAATGTACAAAAAAAAAACGTCCCCAGGTCATGAAATCTGTCCACATGTATGTTAATTTTTTTTATTTACTTTATCGAAAATACACATACAGATGAGGAAAGAAGCAATATTTCTTGCCTTTTCACCTAATTAAGATGATAATTCATGTATTTATTGACTGAGGGAAGATTATATGTACATGGATGATGAAATGGCTAACATTTTTTTTTTTAAAAAGTGACTCAGTTCTTTGGCTTTTAATGTTATACAACTTCATTTTTGAGGACACAAAGTGCGGATTTAGACTACGGTCAAGTACCAAAAGTGTAATTCCTAGAAAAAACGTTTATTTCTTTTTGCTTCATATTTCTAAGAAGCCACTACACAACTTTAGGAAAAACAACTATCAGAGTAACCAAGAACACTTATGTTATAATGTGTTCTACTATATCCTAATAATAACTTGAAACTTTGCTTTTGCAAGCAATTGCGCATGTCACAGACTGCAACGGTACCATATTGGAATCAAAGTACAAAAATTAGTTGAACTTAGAGTAGGCAACTACTTTTTTAAAATTTTGCAAATTTTCAGATTTTAAGAAATTTATCCATTTTTATTTCCATGGCAAAGGCAGCCATTTTGGAAACATAAACCCAAGAAACTTGGGAAGACATAATCAATATTATGATGACAGTTTGAAATACCTTTAGAGCCTCAAATTAAAAGAACATTCAAACTTTCTATTCTATGGCAGAAGTTAAAACGTTCTTTTAACTGATTCAATTTTTGCCAAATATCAGTTTGATTTCACACTAGAATAATCTTTTAATGATTCAAAATAATTGATTGGGCAGCTACTAAGGAAAAATGAGATGTTCATATTTCCTATGTTTCCAGAGCAATGGCCATTTTGAAAATATTAAATGTCGCATGCACAACATGACTTATTCGTTATGTCGCATACACAACATGACTTATTCGTTATCAATACCGCTTCGCGGTTTATAAAGCGTACACTGCCCCAACCAACTTTATACCGTATAAATTGGGTAGCTATTAAATTCATTCCTTAAATAAATAAGGGAATTGACGATAGAAGTGTGGTTACATATATACTTTTAGTTTTAGTTTACCATCAATGTCCTTTTTTTAGTAAAACATCCTTTCGTGAAGCAGATGTGTCAGACTCTGTGGTGTCTTTTATTTCGAGTTCTGTGAGATATATCAAATCAACAAATGAAGGAAAATGAAACTGTATAGTTGTGGTTTGTAATACAATTTCCACCTTCGGGCAAAAAATTACAAAATCCCGCGAAAGTTCTTTATTTTAATATTGTATTTTGTTTATATAATTCAACAGATCGTCTTTCATGACTCTGATTTCTTATCGCTACAATGTAATTCAAATTTTACATTTTCCTCAAACTTATGTGCAAGTGTTAATGTCTAGAAATTATATAAAACGGTCAACGACTTAATAAATGATAAAGACACTTTGTAGAATCAACATAGACCTGTGCATTTTCTCATGCCTTATTAACTTATTTATTTTGTTGATGCAGTCAATTTTAACAGTTTGTTAATGTATGTCAGACTTTTACTCAGAACATATGCACCTGTCTCGTGACTTAGCAACTTTTCAGTACAGTGATACATCGAAAGAAATTCTCTCTCTCTCTCTCTCTCTCTCTCTCTCTCTCTCTCTCTATATATATATATATATATATGCAAGCATCTACATGTATCAGATAATAATGAGAATAAAATAATATGTATACGTACAAAATTCACTTATTATTGACAAGAAAATATGAACTACTTTTCTGCAAGATATGGTATTAATTATATGTTGATTTTTCGTTTGAGGAGTATTCAAAAATAAAAATGCAAACAAGTTTTTATATACAAATTAAGAAACCAATTTTTAATCTAAATGCAGCAAATTTATTTTACCACTGACATAACAGAAATACTTTTATTCATTTAATAGAAACCTAGTAATTAGACAACAACTTTTATTCAACTGAGAGCAATTGAAAATTTTCAATAGTTTACGAAGCATTCGTCATTTATTAATTGTGGTCTAAAAGGCGGGGATATATTTGTTCAGGATTTCCATATCATCTTAGTATACAAAGGTAACTTTTCCTTTCATTCAAAAAATCAAATTAATATTTGATTTAGGGACGAAATTGCATTTGAAATTAAAAACACATCAGTGGAAATATTAACATAAGACTGAAAATTTGTTTCGAAGAAAACTGGTGTGTACCCATAAAAATTGCACAATATGCAAATATTAACATTCATTGCTTTGATAAAACCAGGAAGGGGATTTTTGTTTGAAAAGACTTATGCATTTTCTGCTTTCTCTGCAATAATTTTGCAAACGTCATTGGTCAAAAAAATTTGTTTTCCATTTTTGTTACGTTGCGGTCTGTAATTTAAACCCGACATTGTCGACATGCTGGTTCTTGAGTATCGAGAGTAAATAAAAGTCAAATATCAATATAATTATGCAATATCTCATCAAGGAAGACTTTCAGTATTACTAAAGCTAATTTAAACCTTCTGGTATTTCTTGTACATTTTTAATCGGAACAGAAACTTATTTTATGAAACATTCAATTGAACGATTCTAATCCTTAATTCCATTTCCTATTTTATTTAAGTTGTGAAATTGAGTTGTAGTCAGGGATAAAATCTTGAAGATTTTGCAATTTTTCCTTTCTTCGCATTTTTTTTAAATTACATATGAATAATTGAATTTTGGTTATAACGCGTCATCTGATTAGATAAAAAAATATTACATGTAGTTTATAGTTGCCTTCGTCACAATGACTTATGTCAAAAACGTATCAATCCGCTTCACGTTACATTTAAACGTTGTAAATTTTAAAGGCATTTTTGAAAGGAAAAATTGTCTATTTTTTGTATTTAATGATAGAAAATTAAACTATAAGGAATAAATTTAGTAGCTACCCAAGTTATACTTGTATAACCTGGGTTTGGGCAGTTTACGCTTTTTTATAAACCTCTTCGAGGTTTATAAAGTGTAAATATACAGGTTATACAGTATAACATGGGTAGCTGTTGAATTCGTCCCTTAAATAACTGGAAATGATCAAACATTTGACTTGAAATCAATTTCATAGAAATATTGTGCAGTTTTG